CCGAGAGCATTTTGGATATGCCTTCCAGAAGCATCTCTCATATGCCCAGATATTTCCGTGGCACTTTCCTGCCACCTTCTTGTCCCCTAGGTTTTCTTTGGAGATTTGTTGCAGACTACCACTGAACCACTTGATCCTCTGACATTATGGTTCAGCCATGCTGGCTGCTGAGCCATTGGGTGTTCCTGGCACGGTTTTGGCTTATGGCAAAGACTCTCCTGGACAACACCCTAGGGAGCACTGCCGGCCAGCGCACAGATTGGGCACAGCTTTTGAGGAGAGAGAGTTACCATGTGTAGGCAAAAGCTTAGTTGTGCCACGGGGTCTCAGGACCGAGGGACAGTGGTGTTACTGTGCACATCTCTAGAGTGACCTCTCTTGGGGCTGGGGGAGTGGCCAGGCCACTGCTGCAGGCTGACCTTTCCATGGTGGAGCAGCACCTGGGCTGCTTTGTGCAAACAGCGCAGCCCTATGGCTGGCACGGGTGGGGGTCCAGCACATGCCAGGCAAGCCAGGAGAGGGGTCCACCGCAGTGCATGCTGCTGTCCCGCTCAGTAACCCCACGCTGACACAGGTTTTTAAGCAAGGGACTCTGATGGCTTTTGTGTTCCACTATAAAAAGAATCCCTTCAGTGGCACAGATGTGGTCAGGGACAGCAATGAAATAATTTGTCTGTTCGAGCCATCCCTCCTTTGCCTAGGGCGGGAGAGTGTTGCATGTATGTGCTCCACCTTCCTCAGTCGTGATCACAAGACTTCTTTGGGCCAAGCATCCTACGTCAGGAAAATTAGTGGCCTTATCCTGGGAGACAGGCAGGGAAGAAGGGGAATGTAACACTGGATTCCTGGAAAGCCGCAAGGCCGGGGGGCGTGTGCGGAACTCGCCTTCATGAGCACGCCTGAACAAAACATCTCGTCACTTAGATGAGAATATATTGTGACTGATGTGCATGAAGGCTAAGAATATGTTAAAGACATAAGCGATACATGGATATAGATATAAAGAGAGTAAATGCTTCTTATGATTTGTAAAGTGTTACTCTTAATATAAAAACAGTCCAAGAAGTGCTTTGAGTAGCAAAGGCACCAGTGCCTCAATAAGC